GAAAAAAAAAATTAAAAAAAAAAAAAAAAAAAGAAAATGTGCAAATGTGAAAATTGAAGCACATTTCTTCTTTCATGGGTTTACTTGTGCTGAAATTCTAGAATTGTTTCCATTTTTCTTTCCTGACCTATTGAAAATAACTTTTTTATTCTTGACCCGGAACATATATGTACACATATATACATAGATACATATATATGTATATCTCAAACAAAAGTTCAGAAAGCAATATTAATCCTTAATATAAATGACACAGGCTAATATTTATTTTATTAATTTCATTTGATTTAATTGTAAGTAATTCCTAGTCATGACCCATTAAATATTCCTGGTCATGACCCACTAAAATGATTTCATGAATCATTGATGAATCATGACTAACAAATTTGAAAAATAGTTGTCTAGACAAAGAAGGAATTACTCAGAGCCCTGATGACAATTTTGACCATAATCATCTATGTATGTAGAGCTGATTTTATGCATACAAATAATAATGAATTGAGTTATTTTTTTATTTTACACAGCTTATTCATGTTTGAGTTTAGCTTTAATAAGGCTGTCTTTGCAAAGTTTTTGTTTTATGAACATCCTCAGACAAAACTTTGAGATTCAGAATTTATGAGTACTAGACCTCGTGTCCTTGACTATAAAGATTTGCCTTTTAAAATTGTCTCCAAAATTTCAAGCTTCTGTAAATATCAATAAATCATGAAGTGTTTATTTTTATTGAAGTGTAGTTGGCATACAATATTTTACTAGTTTCAGGTGTACAACTAGTGATTTGACATTTATGTACATTATGAAATGATCACTGTAATAAGTCTAGTTACCATCTATCACCAGAGTTATTACAATATTATTGACTGTATTACCTGTGGTATACTTCACATCCCCATGACTTAAGCATTTTATAACTGGAAGTTTGTACCCATCTCCCTGCTTCCCCTCTGACAACTACCAGCTTGTTTTCTGTATTTATGAGTCTGTTTCTTTTTTGCTGTTTGTTTGTTTTGCTTTTCAAAAAAGATTCCACATAGAAGTAAAAGCATAAGGTATTTGTCTTTCTCTGTCTGACTTATTTCACTTAGCATAATGCCCTCTAGGTCCATCTGAGTTGTCACAGGTGACAAGATTTCCACCTCTTTTACACCTGAGTGATATTCCATTGTGTATATATGTCACATCTTCTTTACCTACTTATCTATCAGTGGGAATGTTTACTTTTGTAATCCAAATTGTACATTGGTAAAATGTATCGTGTTACCTGAGTAATAGTGTTGTTTATAATTTATCATTTTGAGAAGATACATTTGAAATCAAGATCGGTAATGATTTTTAGAACTTTGATGTAGGAGCTAGGTTAAGGTTCACGTTTCATAAAGGTATAATTGATGCTTACTCTTAGAAGTTTTTCGGATCATTTTTTCCACAATAATTTTTTGGCTTTTGAAATCTGGACAGTGACTCAAGATGATAACAGTGGAGTAGGTTGAGTTTCATAATGGTTCTTATGCATATAAGAATCCCATAATAATTGCAGTTATCATGCACTTTCTTGGGTTCTTACAGAAGATCAGGCATTCTGCTAAACACTTGATATACTGTTCTTTAATTTTTACCACAATCTTATTAGGAAAGTATCACTGCTCCTGTTTTACTTAGGAGGAAACTAAGGCTAATGATAGAGCTAAGTAACCTTCCCAGGATGATAAGACCTCAGACCAGAGTCAAGATTCAAACACTGCCTCCACAGCCCTTGGGTTTTACAACCACTCTCTAGCGTACAGGATAATAAAGCACCGTCTCCTCTCACCTGTAACCCAGAGAAGCCAAAATATTCAGAATTGAATTGTATTTTTTTTCACCTACACACAGCGCTGGCCACACAATGTGCAGTACAGTGAAAAATGAAATACAGGGCCCCTTGTTCAAAGAGCAGGAAGGAAAGTGCTGTTAAAACTAAACTGTAAAGCTGTTTTCCTTTATTCCATGGTCTCTCTTTCTTGACTTGCCATTGTGTTTTTTATTTGCTGTTTAACTTCATACTGAACAAAGAAAATTAAAATTTTAAAGTATTAGCATGGGTTTTATTGCTCATTGTTACATTGTGCAATTGCGGTTGTAAATGTAAATATAAGACCATTTAACTCCTGCAGAATCACCGGCACTATACAATTTGTATTTTGTAGCTTGTGCATGCCTATGTATTTCATTGTTAATGTGGAAACATTGCACAACTAACTTAGCTGTTTTTATTTCACTTCTTGATAGGTGCATGTTCTACTCCTATTCTGTACTTTCATCATTCTGATGAGTAAGGCAGGATTGAAAGGACAAGGAACCCGGGGTTGCCCTTTCCCTTTCTTTTTGTGTCCTCAATTTCAGCCTAAATGGTTGGCTGATATGGGAACGAAATACAAGTAAGAAGGGATATCCAAGGACTCTGTGGTCATTCTTGTTTTCTTAGAATTGCCTTCTTTCTGCATTTGAAGCAAGTTCTGGTTCAAACAGAAAGCACGAGTTCTTGGGGCTGTTAGTGCCATCGGTCGTTCGTAGACATACTTCCCTTGGACGGGCTTGAGTGTTGCTCCATCCCCGCATAGTGTGTGTCCACCCGAATTTTATGCTCATGGCACATCAGTAACACTATATGCAAATGGGGGTCGACACACATATTATACTTACTTCCCCTGCACATTTCCTTTGTCACCTTATTGGACTTCACTTCCATTACCCACGTTCAAAGATAACATTGTTAAGGGCAGTGTCAGGAAACAGTTAAAACAAGCAAGGTATGTTTCTGAGCCTTGGGGCACTGTACCACTGCTCAGGTTGCACAACTATGAAGCTGCTCTTGACTACATACATCTCCCAGGCTACCTCTGTGTGACTTGTCTCCTCTTAATGCTGACTTTGATATCTGTTATTAATAGTAATTAGGGATGGAGAGAAAGGATACACCATGGAACTTGTTCAAACCCCTAAGACCTTCAGAAATTTGCCTTGACTTGTGCTCAGGGTCCTTTTGCTATTCGAGATGCTAGAGTTGGGTGATCTTGACCTATCAGGATGACATATTTCTGCCAGTTCTCTAGAAACACATGAAGAATGCATCATTTGATGGAAATATCACACAAAGCCCTCCCCCAATGTCTCTCCATCTTAGAGGACTTAATAGTTGAAGAAATTTTTAATAATAAAGTTTCAAAATAGGAGCATTTATTGGAAGAGCACAATGAAGTTGGTGCCAGCAGCTCCGTGGGATAAGGCCCAGCATTGAGAGGGACTAGAAATTCAAGGCAGACCTGTCAGAGGAAAGCCATCAAAAGGGGGGATTTTTTTTCTAGACAAGATCATGCAGTCTCCCAAGTAGCTTCTGCTTGTTCTATGCTGCCTCTTGTTTCCTTTGCAGATCCCTGTTTGTTAGGGCCTGGTGTTTGCTTAGTGTCTTTGGAGTATACAGAAGATTCCTCTCCAAACACTTCTTCAGTATTTTTGCTCTGCTTCACTGTGTCAACACTTTGTTTGTATCCCCTACTTCAGCAGGAAACCCTCTTGAATGCCATCTTTCTTAAGATATTTGAAGCCCAGCAATGTACCATGAGTGTACTTTACCCAAATAAAAATTCATGCACATTTTCTTATTTACTCGAATTCTTACCATTGGCAATTGCCCGAGTATTAAAGCAGCGGACACATTAGTTACCCCAAGAGTTGTCTCCTGGTACTTGGTAGTACTGGTCCCATTGCTTCTGAATCCCTGTTAACACCCAACCAGGTTTAGAGGTCAGTGTTCCATCCTGGAAACTAACCTGTTATATACAGGTGAGTCTTTTAAAGTCTCCATTACTTAGCTTGAGGTGGGGAGGAGGTATGGACATGCCTAGTAATCCCACTACTCCAAAAGAATCTTTCCCCATCAGTTTTCTCCAGTCACTGTACTTCTTCTTCTATACCTTCAGCTAGGTAATGGGCTGAAAGTGGTGGGGCCAGTCTTCTGGTTCCTTCTTAGCAGTGCCTTCATAGGTGGCCTGGATCTTCTCGTTAGAATTATGGACTATGTACCTGTTGTTCTCAGCTTTATTCAGAAATTCAGAATTTCAAGACAACTGTTGGGAATCTTACTTAACATCCTACTAATTAAATATGGAAGCAGGGGCACCTGGGTAGCTCAGTAGGTTGAGCCTCTGACTTTGCCTCCCGTCATGATCTCACAGTTCATGAATTCAAGCCTCCCAGCGGGCTCTCTGCTGTCAACATAGAGCCTGCTTCAGATCCTCTGTCCCCCTCTCTCTGCACCTCCCTCCACTCATGCACTCTCTCTTTGAAAAATATATTAACATTTTTAAAAGAATGTGAAAGCAAATGCTTCATATTTTACATCTTCTAAGATAATGCCTTCCTACTGAAACCATGGCCTTCTGGAAATAAAAGCTTAATTTATAGAAGTCATCATACTGTTAGAAATTTCAGTTGTGTGAATGAGGTATTTCTGTTTAAATTTCATCTGTTTCCCTCATTTATTTTCAACCCGATAACTTTATTGCTCTTTGAATTTTCAGAAATAGTTCATTCCCTTCTCTTGGGAAGAGATGTTTCCTTTAATGCCATTGCAAAAGTATGTAAATATAATACCAATAATGTTTATGTATAAATGATTGAAAATATAAAATGAAAAAGTTACCTATGGCTGAAAATTGGTAGCATTTAAAATACAGCATGAAGAGATGATGTATTAATTCATTTTTACTATAATCCAGAAAAGCTTTAATGAAATACTAATTTGAAGTGGATTTCAACTGCCATTTGAGAATTTGTGTGTATGTTTGTGAGATGTTAAAATGCAGACTTGGTATTGTATGTGTCTGCTGTTCATGTCTCTGGTAATGCAAGTGGACATTTCTAGCATTTTAAATATTTCATTCGATTTATCATGTAATGTACTGGAACAGTCTGCAAAGATACTCATTGTATAACACCCAATTTATTTTATTGTGCAGCACTTGGAAACTCCTGATGATATTGGCCGTTCATCAATGGAGACTGAGGTAACCCTGGACAGTTACCAAACAGCTTTAGAAGAAGTACTCTCATGGCTTCTTTCTGCTGAGGACACATTGCAAGCCCAAGGAGAGATTTCTAATGATGTAGAAGAAGTGAAAGAACAATTTCATACTCACGAGGTAAAGCAAAACGTTGATGGATGAAACCAAGCACATGACTTGTCATAATGACAAGTCCCTCTTTTTATCTCAGTTACTCTGTGAGATCCTTGTACTTTGGTAATTTAGCTTTTATTTTGAGATGGAAACAAATCAGTGTTGATGGGCGTGGGATTCCAACAGCCTGCATTTAAAGTTCTGTCTTGCAGAATGACCCTTGAAGTTGCCGAGATCTCATTTTGCCAGTGACTCATGCCAGGGACATGAGAGCCCAGCTCCCTTCTCTTGGGTCAAAGCGATGCTGAGTTAGAACAGTCACTCTGGAGGACCCATGTGGTATCAGGCTACACCACCCTTCATGGGAGATTTTTCTTGACGTGACACACTTAACTTGCTTTCCGCCCCTTTGCTGTCCTATTTTCTGCTACTTTGGCTCCTTTGCATGTCTTTCTGGGAGCTTTTACTTAGTACATCACTTGCATACAGATCCTTATCTCAGGATCTGCTTCTGTGGAAGGCAACGTAGGCTACTAGTTGCCCTTAATTCATATTTAAAACGCTATTGGGTTTTCTTAAATAAAAATTCACATCCTTTTACTGGAATATAATTTACATGGGCTACAAATTGAAAATTGCAAAAAAAATAATAAATTTCAAAACCATAATGATTTACCTAAAGCGCCCACTTTTTCACCTTCTTTTCCTGTCAGGGGTACATGATGGATTTGACATCTCATCAGGGACGAGTTGGTAATGTTCTACAACTGGGAAGTCAACTGATTGGAACAGGGAAATTATCAGAAGATGAAGAAACCGAAGTACAAGAACAAATGAATCTCCTAAATTCAAGATGGGAATGCCTCAGGGTAGCTAGCATGGAAAAACAGAGCAAGTAAGTCTTTGTTTTTAATTCCTAAAAATAGTGAGTTTTGGACTTGTATGATTACTTTGATACAGTTTCTCATTTAAGTTGGGATTGTCAGTTTGCTCCTAGAACATGTAGCTCTTTTTTAGGGCATGTTCAGATTGTGTTTTCATGTCTGTTATATTTTGTTTTTCACTTTTGTGATTGATGTGGAGAGGTTGGATAGAAGAACCCTTTTCTACAGAACTCTGCTCTCAAAGTTGCCAAAATTGTTGTCACAGTTAATATTTTCTAAGTTTTTTCCAAAAATTAAAATGTGACCATGGAAGGCAACAGAAATGTAAACAGGAAACCATGCATATAAAATCATCTGTTAGGCACAGTTGACAGGAAACTTCTCTTCTGAAGGAAAAGCTCTCAAAATATTAGTTTCTCATGTGTTTATGGAAATCCTCTTGAAAAAAAATTACTTCTAATCTATGTTTGGAAATCCTTGTGCAAGTACTATATGGTAGTGAATTATTTTAAGAATACATATTGACTTTATCAAAAAAGAATTTTTGAGATATTTGTGAAAATGGCATGTTTCTTATAAAGGTAACAAGTAGATCTCATCATTCTGGATGTGTTGCTTTGATTTATATTGTTAGGTGTGTGTATTCATGTAGAGCCTATCGAGACAAGATAGATTTATTTTTAAATGAAAAGAAATGAAGTGCCGACTGTGGATTTGAATACATTAAGCTAAAGAAATTGTCCAAGCGCCTTAAGTTTACTTAGCTATTATTTATGAAGATTAAAAGCTTTAAACCAGGACCAAAGAAGCTCATTAGATATGCTGGGAAGATTGCTATTTCAGTACTAAATTATAGTGTGACAATAGGGAGGGGGAAAACACATTTTTAAACTCCTGTCTCTTGAAAGAATAAATAAGGCATATGCAGGATAGAATTTTCACAAATATTGGTATTCCAAACCAGGAGATAGGAGTCTCTATACATACTGACGTTTTCCCCTGATGTGCCCATCTTGATGATTGCAACTAACCCTAGAAAGTTAGAGTTACAACAGCCATATTCTAACAATTGAGTCAGTCTCATATCCATGCCCAAGGGTTGACTCATTTATTCCCCCCATTTATTATCATAAATTATAAGATGCAGAACCTCTCTTACTTATGGTCGTGTCTCAACATTCTTCAGGTAGCAACTTCCTATTTTCACTGATCTGTGCAACTTAACGTAACCTCAGATAAAATTTGCTTGTCTTTAAAATCCTATGGTAGAACCACTGTCTTCTCCTTCCTATGTTCTCTTTTCCCATTCCCTCCTGGAGGCTAAGTGCCCCCATCAAACCCTCAATCCCTTTTTAGAATTTTTTTAATGTTTATTTATTTTTGAGAGGCAGAGAGAGACAGAGTGCGAGTGGAGGAGGTGCAGTGAGAGCAGGAGACAGAATCCAAAGCAGGCTCCAGGCTCTGAGCTGACAGCACAGAGCCCAGTGCAGGCTCTAATTCATGAACTATGAGATTATGACCCAAGCAAAGTTGGATGCTTAACTCACTGAGCCACCCAGGTGCCCCACCAATCCCTTTTTTTAGGTAAGACTGACAATATGGCATGAAGTGTTCATGCTAATCAATTAATTACCTTTGAGACTGAGTTACAAGAAAAGGTGAATTCAACTTAAAATCCCAAATTTGTAGTCAGTTTTAAAAGCAAGGTTACTTTAAAAAATGCCTGTCTTGAAGGGATATCTACTATTAGATGATAGATAATAGCATAGATACACATACGTGGATGATAGTGCACATGCCCATATTTACACACATACACATGTACAAACATGCATACATACATATGTGTGTATGTGTGTAATTTCTTTACCCCTATCCTGCTGGAGGATGGAAAAGCTAAAATAACAACATCAGTCCTTAGCTAAGATTGACATAAAACACCAGTTTGTCCTGGGGTCCCTGGGTGGCTCAGTCAGTTAAGCATCTGACTCCTGATTTTGGCTCAGGTCATGATTTCATAGGTTCGTGAGTCCAATCCCCACATCAGGCTCCATGCTGTAGAGCCTGCTTGGGGTCCCTCCCCCCTCTGTCTCTCTCCCTGCCTCCCTGCCTCTCCCCTGCTCACTTGTGCACTCTCTCTCTCTTTCTCTCTCTCTATAAATAAATAAACTTAAAAAAAACATTTGTCCTGAGGGAAGATTTGGGCACTTTGGTATGTGTTTAAGCACTTGGAATGATTATTAGGAAGGCAAGGGCGGCCTCTTAGCTGGCATAGTTTTTGCTAAAACATAGAGTTTTGAAAATGAGACACTAATATGGAACCACCTGTAGCACACAGTCATTTCTGGACAGTTTATTGAAATACCCATACACAAAGTATGATTTTGCAAAGCAAATCCAGAAATCTTTTGTAAGGTTGTAAAAGTAAGTCTTCCATATCGCTTTCCCTAACTTTGTGTGTATTCATGCATAAAACCTATTAAAATCTAATTGAGATAAGCCATTATGCAAACCGTGCTGGACCTGATTCTTAATAGATTTTTTTGAAGGAACCAAAGAGCTAATTATGACAATAGGATATCATCAGTATTTAAAAAAATAATAATAATTCTAGGTTTTATTTCATGCTTTTATAGATTGCTACCCATTCACTTTCTATTCTCATGAGCTTTGTTGATGATGAGCTTCATAGGGAGCATCACCTATTCTTTCCAAACCCTCTGCATCCTATGAAGTAGGAAGGCATGATAAATTGCTAGCAAACAAAAATGGATCAGTCTACATTTCTCATCTCTCCCTCCCATAGACAGAGTGTGGATAGACCCCATCCCAAGTTGTCATCCCTGCCTAAGCATAGATTTTGTGATGAGAGGAATGATAATTAAAGTTTGTCTGGGCATATAAGATATAACCGAAACCATGCTAGGATTCTTAAGTTGGTATCTTTTAATAAATGTAAAAAACAAAACAACAAAAAAACGAACTGGGAATACATATAAGCTTATAACTATATATTACGTATATATTTATATATGTACTATAATTATACACACACCACACACACACACACACACACACACATGAAACTCTACACACACACACACAAACATAAGTATTAACAAATATTAATGGAGTACCTCAAGATATCAGATACATTTCCAGGCATTAGGGACAAAGTATTGGTCATAAGAGTTTAAGTCCCAGATCTCCTTTAGCTCTAGAGAGGCTGTTAAAACAAGAACCCAAGAGGGACACCTGAGTAACTCGGTTAAACTGCAGACTCTTGAATTCACCTCAGGTCATGATCTCATGGTTCATGAGCTCAAGCCCCACATAAGGCTCCATGCTGACAGTGCACGGAGACTGCCTCTGATTTTCTCTGTCCCTCTCTGTCTGCCCCTCCCTCACTTGCACTTACTCTCTCAAAATAAATAAGTAAACTTTTAGAAATTCTTTAAAAAAAATAGAAAGAAAGAAAGAACCCAAGAGAAAGGTACCTGAATGCTTGGTTAAATGTCTGACTCTTGGTTTTGGCTCAGGCCATGATCTTACATTTCATGAGTTTGAGCCCACATTGGGTTCTGTACTGGCAGGACAGAGCCTGCTTGGGATTCTTTCTCTTTCTCCCTCTTTCTCTGACCCTCCCCTGCTTGTGTATGCTTTCTCTTTATCTCTCTTTCTCAAAAAAAAAAAAATGAATCAACGTTAAATTTTTTTCAAAAAAAAATGAACCCCAGAGGATGAAAGGTGGGAGAAGCATCTCCGTATCACAGCGCCTTTTAATATCCTCAGAAAACTTACTCCTAGCTGATATTTAGTGTTTGTGATCCAAGAATGTTATTTCTGGGGTGTTAACCATTTAATTTGAATTTGAATGACAAGAAGGAACTACCATTTGTTAACCAGGAGAGTAACATTTCAGGCAGAGGGAACAGCCAATGCAAAGGCACTAAAATAGGAACAACCGGCTTGTTAGAGGGAGCGAGGATCAGCATGAGTGGAAAGTTGCAGGAGGGAAGGTTAGGTAGTGGAGGTATGAGACAGGGTTAAAAGAGAGGTAAGGGTCCCCTCTTGTATGGTGGTGTTAGGGTAAGAGAAAAGGGCTTTGGAGTTCTAGTGGAAGTGCCAGTGTTCCAGGATTTTTTTTTTTTTTTTTTTTTTTTTTTTTTTTTTTTTTTTTTTTTACCTCAGTACCTGGAATTCATCGTCTCACCGCTTGGAAGAATGAAGAGGTGGACACAAAATGAACAGCAGGCAAAGTTTATTGGAGTATGAGATCAGAAAGTGAGAATAGTATGAAAGCTCTCTTTGCAGAGATGGGGCATTTAAAAGTGAATACCCCCCACTATAGGCAAGGGTCTTTGTTTTATAAGGTTCTGGTTGCCCCCTCTTTCCCTTCTCCCTTGTTCCTTCTCAGGTTCTACCCTCCCTGGCTTCATAACTCTACGTGCTGGGTCCTCCATTCATGATTGGCTCCATTCCATTGTGTGAGGAATCAGACTAGGGTCATACTGTCCCTCTTATAGCATAAGCTTTATGCTTTTACTTATTTTAGTTAGATATTTTGATTGTCAGATTACTGAGGGGAACCTGAGGGGGAGTAGGTGGTGTCTGTTACATTCTGAAGAGGAACCTTATGTCCACGGGGGTTTGCCGTGACGCTCCCAGCACCATTCCAAAAATCTGTGTTTTTCCCCACCAAGGGACCTCAGGTCCCAACGTTTCCCTCTCTGCCAATTTGATCCTATCTTTCCCTATCATACAAGAAAAAGCCACCAGAATGTTTTAAGTAGGGGTGAGACAGGTAAAGAACATCTCAGTCATGCTACTGGAAGAGGAAAGGGCAGTTATAAGGTCACTGCAGTAACCCAAGTAAAAAATGACAGGTCTTATGCCAGGTGGTAGTTGTGGTATACCACGAGTCTATTCTGTTATTTTAGCCCAACAGTTAATTTATAAACTATTCCTGCTATACTTAGTTTTGTTATTTTTTGGCCTTTTTAACAGTCAG